CAAATCTACTCTCGCAATCCATATCAATTGTACTTTGTAACCATAAATGCCATTTCCACCACATGCTGTCATTTCCACCACAGAGGGCAGTGTGGTGGAGATGACTGTGGCGGAAATGACATTTCTGTAGTTTTTTTGTGAAAAAATTTAAGATAGCTTCACTGATTAGCTTAGAATTAATACTTAGCATTTCATGTATGCAAAATACTCTTATTTAACTTAAAATTTTTAGCTAATTAAAAACATGCTTGAAGGTACAGCATGTTTGGAAATGACGTAGAATAAATATATTAACTGATCAAGCAATATTTACCTTGATTTTTCTTTTCTTGTCCAACATGTGCTCTGATGTCACTGAACCTTTCCATAGAAACCACCTAAACAATCTTTCACACAAACTTTTTAAAGGGACATTAGTGTTGTGGTGGAAATGACACCAATATTGTGCGACAGCTATATTTTGTATAGAAAGTAATATTGATCGTGGTCTCACATTAAATACTATTATGTATTTTAATTATTTTACTAGTGCTTAATTCAGGTACATTAATAGTTACCAGATAAGTCATAATTTTTAAACTGTATTTTCATTGTTGAAGTTTAAAAGTCTGGGTGTGCGACAAGGAGTGATTTTGACACCTATAAGGAGGTTGAAAAGTATGAAAAAATCATAATAGAAAAGGTAGTAAAAAGATTTTAAGGTGGTTTTATTGTTAGTTTGACTAAGAAAGAGGAATTTGTCCAAAATTATATGTATTTTTATAAATATGATCAAAAAGAACAAAAGTGCCCATAGTCTAAGAATCACCCATATATATATATATGAAATTCCCCTTTCACATATAAAACCAATAAAGGAACCCAGTGGCCAGTATAAGTAAAATTAGTAAACTCAGTTGAGTTCAGCTCAACCATCCCTCAGTAATAGCACAACCCCTCCCTGAGTGAGCTGTGAGAGGAGCTGACAGCGCCATCTGTCGGCACATGAGCGCTATCATCTGCTCACGAGAACAAAGACTATAAAATAACAACACCGCTATTGTCCATGTGAGTGTGTTCTCCATCAGTGAAGTCTTTAACATTGCACAGGTCATATTTCGTAGGAGTGGATGTTTCGTGGTCGATTTTCTGAGTTTCTTCATGCACAGCATGGCTGACTAATCTAGCGATGGAGAGCACAAAACAAACTTGCGCGCGCAATCGCACACACTGCGCAAAACATGCACGAGATATGAGATTATGAGAAATATGCGGCGCGGATTCCAGTGTTAAATATGTTAAATGTATGCAGATATATACTTTGCAATGCAGTGAATAAATAAACATTCATAGGACTCTCAGTTCCGAACGCCTCCCTGATGCAGGATGCAGGAGCCAGGAGTGTGTGTGTGTGT